GTGATATGACCCCCCCCTCCTCCACTTGCACCTGCTGATGTGACCTTGGGTCAGTCACAAGCTCTGGCACAGCTGTCCTTGAAAAAGAGCAGTTTGTGTCAGAGCTCTCTCAGCCCCACCCACCTCACAGGGTGTCTGTTGTGGGGAAGGGAAGGGAGAGGAGTTTGTAAGCTGCTCTGAGACTCCGAGTAAAAGGGCGGGGTATAAATTCAATCCCTTCCTCTTCTTCTTAGTGGGTTCAGGGATCCACCTCTCAAGCGGGTAAGGTTTGACAGCAGAAAGAGCAGCTCGCAATAGCAACGCCCAGGGACCAAAGTGAGTGTGTGAGGTACAGCGGTGCTGCTGAGGCTGAGTTTGCTCCCGGTGTGTCTCACCAGTTATCTCCCTTATCTCTCTCCCTTTGTCAGTACATCTTTGTTTATGCTTTTGTGTGTTGCTATTCCCTCCCAAAAAAAAAAAAAATTTAACAACGGGGTGGGCATTTAAAAAGCTTGGAGATAATGTTCCCGGGTCCAATCCTCCTCCTTCTCCTTGTCTTTCAGGTGACACTAGCAAAAATGAGGTCGCACGTCATGTCCTGCACTAAGGTTCAGGAACAGATGGCCAACTGCCCAAAGTTTGTTCCAGTTGTCCCAACCTCCCAGCCCATTCCCAGGTATTAACCTCTCCCTCAGCTGGAGCAGCAGAATTCAGGCCACGGTTTCAAGGCTCGCACGCTCTCAGAGGTGGGGGCGGGGTGGCCGCTTTCGGAAGGACGTTTCCCCCAAGCCGCCCAAGTGTGCTTTTCTTCTGGGTGACCCTTCCTGGTCCTTCCCCCTCGCGTGCGCGCTCTCTCTCTCTCTCTCTTCCTCCCCCTTTGCAGCAATATCCCAAACCGATCCACGTTTGTGTGCCCTTATTGTGGAGCGCGGAATCTGGACCAGCAGGAGCTGGTGAAGCACTGTATGGAAAACCACCGCAACGACCCCAACAAAGTGGTGAGTGGCACCCAGGTCCCAGTGGCATCGCCACAGAATGAAAGCCCACAGGAGCTGCAGAGGGAAGGCTGCGGTGGAGCCTTTGCAGAGGAGGAAGGAGGGGGTCCCTGTGCCCACCCTCAAAGCGCTGGTGCTGTGAGATTGTGCCGAAACCCCCAGACCGCCAGCCAGGAAGAGCTAGCTGCGCCTTGCTCAGCTCCTCAGCTGACGCGGACCCGGGGAGACGAGGCTGGCCAGTGCACTGTGCGAGCCAGGGCGTGTTTGAATCCGTTCCCCGTACAGAGCCGGGAGTCAGTCGTCCGCACACGTGCGCTTCCAGGCATCGAGCGCTCTGCCTCTTTCTAGCTCATGTAATCGCCGTGCAGCCTCTCTGGCAGGCCAGGGCAGAGCTGTCTTGGTTTCTTTCAGCAGAAGGAAAGCAAGAGGCGGCCAGCCGGTCTCTTTCCAGAGCACGGGAGGGCGGGGAGCGGTTCTGTTCTTGCACCCTGCTTGCCTCTGGGCCGTGAATGTGTGTTTCGGGCAGCGTTCCTCTCGCGTTGAGGCTCGTCTCCCAAAGCAGCCTTGGGATTTGGTGCGGGAGAGCCGTGTGGTCGGGCAGGCCTCGTGCTCTTCGTGTCACGCACTGCCAACGTTGGTGCAGGACCAGCTTCGGAATGGCAGTCGGATGACTGCTTGAGCTAACGTGGATTTCAGGGAGAAGTTGGTTTCAGCCTCTCGTAGGAGGGCGCCATCCGACACATTCAGGGACCCGAGTGGTTGTCTTCCGTTCCTCAAACAGGGTTCTGCACAGTGTGGCCAGCTCTCTGCTCCTCATAATGGTGGATAGGCAGCATGACTTTGTTTTCGCCCTCTTAGTTCTCCCAGGCGGCTGCCTCAGTGAGGCACGGGCCAACAGTGTGGGTAGCTTCTGCTTGCCGCCCCGAGGCGTAGGACTGCTTTGACCCGGTCCCCTTTTCCCTCCCTGGGCGCTCCAGGTCTGTCCCGTCTGCTCCGCCATGCCTTGGGGCGACCCCAGCTACAAGAGCGCCAACTTCCTCCAGCATCTTCTCCACCGGCACAAGTTCTCCTACGACACGTTTGTGGTGAGCTCTGTTGGGGTGGGACGCCGGGTTGTCGAAGGCCCTGGACGGATGTCCGGCTGTTAGAGGGGGCGAGGGATGGGGGGGTGGACGAGGGCACACCGTTTGCTTCTCTTGCTGGTGGACCAAACTTTCCGTTGCTAGTGGGCGAAGGGCGAGGGCGTATTTGTCCCTGAAATAAACAAGCTCCACCAGGCATTCTGCCTCCCTGCTCCTCAAAGGCTCCGTCCCTTGAGGTGAGCTGGAATAATGCTTTCAGACAGAGCTGCGTGTGTTTGCGCATGAATGGGTGAGTGGTTTGGCTTGGCTTTCATTCCCCCCCAGGCTGTTGTGCACAACTTGGGAGGCTGAGTGCGGAGTGGTCGTTGTGGCCCCCCCCCCCAAGTTGAGCAGACCGGCTGTGACTCAGGTGGGCTCAAAGGCCACCTCTGGCCCACGGCCTGCCGAAGGGCTTTGCAGGAGCATCAGCCTGTAGCGACAAAGGTGCCCTGGCACCGGAGGAACAGGCAGAGCCGCAGTTCCGAGCTCTCAAAAGCAGGCCGAGACTCAAACGTGGACCTCAGGCCAAAAGCACTTGCCCACCACTGGGCCACGGGCAGGACTGCGCTCACCTGGCCGTAATCAAGTCTGTGCCGTTGTCAGCCGTGCAGGAACAGGTGAGGAATCTTCCCCGCACGCTTCTTCTCAGTCTCAAGCCGTCCTTTCACACTGCGGCTAGATGGCTACTTAAGCTTCGACAGTTGTCCTGTGCCCAGGGCAAAAATGGTGCCCACTGTAGAATGCGGCATCCTGATACATGAAGCTGCCTCATACAGAATCAGGCCCTTGGTCCGTCTGAGCTGGTGTTGTCTACTCAGACGGGCAGCAGCTCTCCGGGATCTTTCACTTTACCACCGGCCTGATCCTTTGAACTGGAGATGCTGGGGATTCAACCACGGGCTTCCCATAATGTCCCGGCCCCACTGGTGGACCTCCTGATGGCACTGGTATTTCTGGCCACTGTGTGACACAGAGTGTTGGACTGGATGGGCCACTGGCCTCATCCAACATTGGCGTCTCTTTTGTTCTTATGATACATGAAGCTGCCTCATACAGAATCAGGCCCTTGGTCCATCTGAGCTGGTGTTGTCTACTCAGACGGGCAGCAGCTCTCCGGGATCTTTCACTTTACCACCGGCCTGATCCTTTGACCTGGAGGTGCTGGGGATTCAACCAGGGGCCTCCTACATGGCCAGCAGATGCTCTGCCACTGAGCCACAGCATTCTACCCCATCCTAAATATTCAAATCCTTTTTCTGTCCCGTTCCCCCAAAGGGGGGTTCAAGTCGGTTTACAATATTGGCACATCACAATATTTTTTAATTATGTGGTACCTATTTATCTACTTGCAATTTCTTGCTTTCGAACTGCTAGGTTGGCAGGAGCTGGAACTAGAGATGGTAGCTCACTCCGTCATGTGGCACACTCGGGTCTCGAACTGCTGAACTACCGACCTTCCACAGCCTGCAGTTCAGCGTCTTAACCACTTGAGCCACCACAGTAGATAAATACATTACTATAAAACATTGCTAAAATCAGACATAATATTAAAGTGCTATCAATTCTGTTGGCCACTGTGTGACACAGAGTGTTGGAGAGGATGGGCGACTGGCCTCATCCAACATTGGCGTCTCTTTTGTTCTTATGTCTGGGGCAAGGGATGCTCTGTATTCTTGGTGCTTGGGGGGGGGGACAGTGGGAGGGCTTCTAATGTCCTGGCCCCACTGCTGGACCTCCTGATGGCACCTGATATTTTTGTCCACTGTGTGACAGAGTGTTGGACTGGATGGGCCACTGGCCTGATCCAACATTGGTTTCTCTTGTATTCTTATCGCTTCCCGGCACTGGTATTAGGTAAACAGCCTTTGAATTTGGAGGCTCCCTTTAGTCAGCATGGCTAGTAGCCACCGATGGATCTGTCCTGTAGAAAATAACGCTAACCCTCTTTTAAAGTCATCTGTGCAGTGTGGTCATCACTATATCCTCTGGCAGTGAACGCCACATTTTAGTCACGCATTGAGTAAAGTATTTCTTTTTGTCCTCCCTGACTCTATTGTCCATCAGTTTCATCGAGTGCCCTTGAGTTTTAGTAGTCTGGGAGAGGGAGAAACAGCTCTCTCTCCACCGCATGCATAATCACACCCCATTATCATACGTTTAAAGCTACGATTATTGGTTCCAGTGCGCATCACCTTACCTTGATGTACATTAAACTTCATTGTTGCCCACTCATTCAATTTGTGCAGATTTAAAGGTGTTAAGGGTTTAAAAAAAGAAGAAGAAGATGAGAGAACGAAGCAACAACCGCTGTTAAATCATCCCTACTAGCATTTTATTATGTGTTACGGTTTTAGAACTGTTACTTGTATTAACTGATGCTGTTTAATTTCATCCTATACTATTGTAAATTCAAGTTGTTTTTACGTAACTTGCCCTGATCCTGCCTTGGCCGGGAGGGCGGGGTAGAAATTTAATAAATCAAATCAGACCAACATACTGTGCTTACCTGAATCACTGCAGGTTTCTGTAGCAAAAAGGATTAATATGGTAGTCTTCCTCAGGGGTCATTTCCTGCAGGAGCGCACAGGAGCGGAGCTCCGGCAGTAAAGAGCCCAGGGGGCGGGCACATGCAACAAGCCCCACCCCCTGATCCCAGCAGCCCTCAGTCAGAGCAAAAAGCAGCCAGGTAAGTTGCAGAGCTCCCGCCCGCCCGCCGGTCCAAAACAGTCCAGTGGCACCTTTAAGACCAAGTTTTATTCAGGTACAAGCTCTCCTTCCTCTGCGAGGACAGATCTGCATGTTCCCCACCCCCCCAACAGCTAGCAATCCAAAACAGTCCAGTGGCACCTTTAAGACCAAGTTTTATTCAGGTACAAGCTCTCCCTCCTCTGCGAGGGCAGATCTGCACGGTTCCCCCCTCCGATAGCTAGCAATCCAAAACAGTCCAGTGGAGCCTAAGTGGTGTGTGTTGCCTTCTGACACACTTCCGGTGATGCCAGAGGGTGTGGCATATGCAAGTAAGTTATGCTAATGAGTTATGCTAATGAGATCCTGCACCTCTTTTTTTACAAAATGACCCCTGGCTCTTCCTTCATCACCCTGATGTGAAACTCGTATGCTCTTTGTGGGGTTCCATGGATGAACAGACCACAAGCCTAGTGAGCCGTTGTACTTTATTTGTGATCCCAGCATGCGCAAGACAGGACTCCAGAGCCTCAGCTCTCTTAAATAGCCTGCAATTGCCACACCCAAACACACCCCACTCCCAGTGATGGGCTGTTTACATAACATTACTACTTGATTGGTTTATTCCAGAGTCCTGGTCGGCTATTGTTCTTGTGCTCCAAGCTCAGCCAGTCTGTGGGGTGATTCCATCAAGGATAATTCAACCCCAATACATAGCACTCTTTGTCAAGGGATGTTCCTTTGGGGCTTTCTCGCCTGCCTCCCCAAGCTCCATTAACAAACTTTCAAGTCTAACTCCCCTATTAGAAGCCCCTGGTTGGAAGCCCTTGTTCCAAGCACCCAGGAAACCTGAGTGCCTTCATAGGGTCTAATGCAATGTAGCCATTGTGGGCAATTTAAGGGATACCTCTGCATGGGCAGGGCAAAGAGGATGAGAGGTGTGAAGAAATGCATTTTTCCTAGGAGTTTGGAAATGGGCAAAACCTCTACTTTGCATTTTAACTTTTTTTTGTCATGGCAGAGAACTGGCAAGAGAAGGAGGAAGTCAGTGCAATAGGTCTCCAGACTTACAAATGCCAATAGATCTAGCAAGGGAGATAATGGGCGGGTCAAGCTCTTCCCCTTCCCCAAGCAGGAAACAGAGATTGAGAAGGATGAAGAGAAAAAGAAGAGATTGGATTTATACCCCGCCCTTCACTACCCGAAGGAGTCTCAGAGCGGCTTACAATCCCTTTCCCTTCCCCTCCTCACATCAGACACCCTGTGAGGTAGGCGGGGCAGAGAGAGCTCTCTTGAGAACTGCCCTTGAGAGAACAGCTCTGAAAGAACTTATGATTGACCCAAGGTCACACCAGCAGCTGCATGTAGAGGATTGGGGAATCAAACCTGGTTCTCCCAGGTCAGAGTCTGCTTTCTTAACAACTATACCAAGCTGAAATACTTGATAGTTTTCAGGAAGGAGATCTCCAGGAATCACCTCTTTGACCTGGCTTGGCTTGGTCAGGTGGTAGAGAAACAGATATTATAAAACTCAGGGGAGTCAGGAGGAAGCTCTCTTTTCTTTGGATGCTGTGTCCATGAGAGCAGGAACAGACCTCTCCCCTGATCAGGCAGCCATTTCGACCATGTGCCGGCCTGAAGACCTGGAGGAAGCATCCAGGTAATGGTAACTTGGTAGGGATTTGTAACTACCAAAACTACAGGGGCCTGTCAAATATTTTAACGTCTGATAGGGCATGTGTAGAAGAAGAAGAGAAGAGATTGGATTTATACCCCACCCTTCACTACCCAAGGGAGTCTCAGAGCGGCTTACAAACTCCTTTCCCTTCCCTTCCCCACATCAGACACCCTGTGAGGTAGGTGGGGCTGAGAGAGCTCTTTCAAGGCATGCCCTTTCAAGAACAGCTCTTGTCAGAACTGTGGCTTGCCCAAGGTTATCCAGCAGCTGCAAGTGGAGGAGTGGGGAATCAAACCCGGTTCTCCCAGATTAGAGCCCATGCACTTAACCACTACACCAAACTGGTATAGAGAGAGGGACAGAGGATTTGCGCACGGAACGCTGTTACAAAGCAGGCCCATTCTGCCACGAAAGGCAAATGATTTCATTCTACATACAAGTTGGTCAATGTAATAACCCCAAAGACCTGGGCAATATTGCCTTTCCCCTGGTCAGTGTGATGATTTAGTTCTTCAGCTGACCAAGAAAAACCAATAAATAACAACTGTGCACTGACCAACCCACCCAAGAGCTATAGAAAAGAGACTTCAATACAATAAGT